TCACATACCCTCACACAAGTCTGGCTTCATGTCAGATTCTTTCACTGCGACACGAGATACTTATTTGTGCAAATCACATACAAACATGGGTTTGATGATAAATGCATTATACCAAAGGAAGATAATACCATGTAAGAATTGTCAACATTTTCTCTCTTTGGTTTGTTGTGATGTGAACAACGAAGACTGTGTGCATCGAAACTGTAAAAAATGTCGGAATAAAGTTATCGTATATCAGGAGTTTGATAATTCTATTGAGATAACTTACTGGCTATGGCAAAGTAACCAAATTATACTACATACGAAGGGAAAATAAGAACCGTTGAAAAAATTCAAATAAGACAACAACCTTGGCGCTGGTGTGATATATTTTTTATTTTGTAGGTTATATATTATTTAAGAAGTTAATTCTTTTAGAGTTTTTAGACAATAATTAGTTTTAAGCTTTTCAAATTTAAATATTAATATAAATATAATAAATAAAAAATCTAAAAAGTAATACATTTAACTTTTAAAAAGACAACAACCTAAGAAAAAAAATATTTCGATTCTTTTTAATTTACGAGTTCTTGGTGAATATTTCATTTATTGTGGTAATATTTGCCCAAAAAAGCGTTCATAACCACAAATGAACATTTTCAAGTACATAAATGTATTATTCACGTTGATTTTAGTAAAAAACTTGATTGCATACGTCTTGTGCTATGATGAAATACAGTCCTACTATTTCGGAGGTAGCTGTAAGCAGATGACATTGCATACGTGTGTTATCGATTTTCTGTATAATGTATTGCGACAGCAAGTGCAATATTGTACAGTCCGGTACAGTCAGTACTGGTATGAACTCATATTGTACCTGTCCTCGAATATAAAGGTGAAATAAAACCAAAAATTAGTATATTACATTTCATGTCTGGCTCACAATTCAGTCAATACCGTAATAAGAAAATATTTCATCTGATTTCTTGCTTGCTTACATAATATACCTGAGCACTGTTCAAACTATTACGAAGAATTATAGCGAATCGGGCCACGGAAAAGGAGCACCGGAAGGAGTGGGTGCCGTTATGAACAGAACTGCGGATCCAGCACTCTCCCAAGATTTGTCGAAAATGAGCTCATTCAATTTAAATCCCAATCAAAATCAAGCGACTATCATGACGACATGAATGCTAAAAATTTCATTAAATGGATGACTTCAAAAATCAATCCGAACTTGCCACTTGCTTGCATCGTGGTAATGGATAATGCATCATATCAATTTAAAAGCAGAAATGAAAGAATGGCTATTAAATAATAGTATTCCGTTTGAAGATTACTGGACGAAACCACAGTTTTACGAATTAATAAAAAAAAGCAAAGGAGATCCAGTATATCAAGTCGAATAAATTATTAAATCAACATGGACATGAGGTCGTGCACTTACCTCCATATCACTGCGATTTAAATCCGATAGAAAAAATATGGGCTATAGTCAAAAGACAGAAAAGAAAGATATTGCAGAGAAAAATGTAAGCTGAGCCGCAAGCAAAATATCCTAAATAACTGAAGCAGCATTCAACACTATAACAACGTTGGAATGGATTAACGTGTGTCAATATGTGGAAAAATCAAAGACCAATATTTCGAATCAGATAGACTTATGGATATAGAACTTGACAAAAATTGATCCGATGTGACGATGAAAGCTTAGACTCTTCTGACGACGAAATCAATGAAGACTCAGAAAGAAACATAATGGAAGGCATTGACCCACTGGAGGACCACAATTATACAAAATTTAGAAGTACTGTTAGATATTTAATAAGAGCTTTGGATAAATATTTAATGTTGTCTATTTTTTAATTAAAAACACTTCATAAAAAGCAGATACTACAATATTATATAATTTCCTCGTGATTAATACCTTGCACTGAAGAACTTGCGAACTAAGCCAGAACTTACCATCCTTCGTGCAGATAAAGGAAACGCCACGGTATTGATGGATACGTCAGATTACAACGACAAGATATTACAACTTCTATCGGATGAGAACACATATAAACTTGTGAAGAGTGATCCGACCACCAATATCCTCAAAAAGACAAGTGAACTCATTAAATCACTTTCCGAAACCACCAAAACCAAAACATGTCCCAAACCACCAAAACTGGATGGGTTACCGAAAATACACAAACCGAATGCTCCGCTGCGTCCGATTGTAAGCCAGATTGATTCACCAACATACCGTTTGGCTAAACACGTAGCAAAGTTACTTTCACCGCTTTTTCATACCAATTTGCCAATGAGATTCAAGATCAACATCTCATGGACAATGAAATCATGGTGAGTTTTGATGTTCAGTCCTTATTTACATGCCTACCAGTATGGGACTGCATTGAAATCACTAAGAAGAAGCTACTTGAAAATAATATGCCTGTTGAATATGCAGAATTACTAGAACATTGCCATACATCTGGCTACCTGTTATGGGGGGATGATTTCTATGTACAAGTGGAGGGCGCTGCTCACATTTTAAATGTTAGTGGTGAAACCAAAATTAAACTTTCAAGCCTTTTTTTGAGTAACTTTAAGTAATTTTAGGAAGTTGAGTTATTTTTTTATTAAAACAACATTCAAGACAATTATGTCACAGAAAAAAGACTGCAAAACATACTACGAAAAAAGATAAGAATTTTTGAAACCTCGCTGGCAAAAATCATTAAAAATACACAAAAAAAATATTACTCGAAAACTAAGAAAAATCGCGGAACATACATTATAAGCATCGGCCATTTCTTCAACCAATTAAAAAATATTTCTAATCATGGACCTATGAACTGCGGCCTAGACTGTATTGAAATTATTGGAGAAGGGCAAATCGGATTTTTGTCTAAATTTACATTGAAATGCAAGTTATGTAATATGAAATTTAATATTGAATCTGATGCTCCAGATGATTTACATGTAAATCATGCCGCTGTTGCTGGTGTGATCGCTATTGGCTATGGTCACTGGCAGCTTCTCTCTGCTGCCCTGAATCTTCCTCTCATGTCTGCTAAAACATATCAAAGAAGCCACGCAAAACTTACAAAAGATATAAAAAAATATCAATAGATTCCATGAGTGAAGCTGCGAAAAAAGAAAGAGAAATGGCGATTGGTGAAGGCTGGGTAAATAAAAATGGAATTCCCATAATTGATGTGATTGTCGATGGTTGTTGGTGCAAAAGGACTTACAAAAAAAATACTCTGCTTTGTCCGGGGCAGCAGCCATAATCGGTAAAAGGACGGGTGAGGTGCTGTTTTTGGGTGTGCGCAATAAATATTGTGCTATCTGTGCACAAGCTGAAAAAAAGGAGATCGAGCCTAAAACACATGTGTGTTATAAAAACTATAATGGCCCATCCACTGGGATGGAGTCAGATATTCTATTAGAGGGCTTTAAATGTTCTATTGATATGCATAACCTAATATACGGTAGGATGGTTTCTGATGGCGATTCAAGCACGTATGCGAAATTGTTGAAAAATCTCCCGTATTATAATGTAACTGTGGAGAAAAAATGAATGCAGAAACCATTTGCTCAGAAATTTATGCAATAAAATAGTCCAACTCCAAACAGATACCACATATTTATTAAAATACCGGAAACAACTAACCCAAACAAAAATTATGTTTCTAAGGAGAACAATCCGAAAAATCATAAAACATTATAAAAGTGACTCTGAAACTGAGAGACGATGTAATATCGAACCTTTATATAATGACCTTTTGTTAGCTCATCTGCACACTTTTGGGGACCACAGTCGGTGCAAGGCTAGCTTTTGCACAGTTATGAACAAATCTGATGGAAATCCTGAAACTGTCGATAAACAAAATTTACAAGTACCATTTGGAGTCGGATTTGTTTGATCATGTCAAATGTTGCATCACATGCTCCAAGTTTAATTCATGACGTAGACAACAGTAATTTGGTAGAAACGTTCAACAGCATAGTTGCGAAGCTGGCACGTATTCATCACACAAACATCCACCCCCACCGGGATTCAAACCCAGGACTTCTCGAGTAGGCGATATATTGAAACCCGGCGAACCAATCACTTGGCCATAGAGGTCGTCAAACGAAGAAACCGAATATTCAAAAACTTTATTCATTGACCACTTATCAACCAAAAATATTTGCCTCTTAAACAATATTTTTAGGTTACAATTTAGACCCTAGCAATGGCGATGTTTAGTTGGAGAATCCAATTCGAAGTTGTAATGTAATAATTGATTTCTTTTTGCAGATTACACCACGATCTTCGGTGCCTATTCTAAAGGTAAAAGAACAGAGTGTCACCATGACTATACTGCGTGCTAGTTCCACGCCAGTAGTGAAACGTCAAAAGCTTTCTCGTAAAAACGGCGAAGGTTCGAGCAAAACACGCGAGATCCAAGTCGAACGTCCGCAATGCTTGACCGAAGAAATCAGAAAATGCGTTTCGTCTACACTCAAGGGTATCCTGCCTGGATGCGACCAGAATAAATTCGAAAGTTTGATTGAGGAAATAACCTCTTTTATGTTATCACTATATTCAAAAGGATACTTTGATATTATAAAAACGGAAAATAATACACAGGTAAGCCAATACCATTAAAACCCAAAACATAATTAGTATTTAATATTTTCAATAAAAGCAGTTATCTCATAAAGGGCGTACCACGGCTACCGCACACGGAGGGCAAGTATATTAAATATTGAAGATAGGATATTTTACTGAAAGAAGACATCATTTTATTTTTAATAATAGATAGAACTGCATTCACAGTTTTTTTTAAATCGCCTGCTACAACTGGGAATCAAACTCGTGAAATTTCGAAAAAAAAACACGGGCAATTTTTGATAACCATCGAAAGTAAAAGGACGGGTGAGGTGCTGTTTTTGGATGTGCGCAATAAATATTGTGCTATCTGTGCACAAGCTGAAAACAAGGAGATCGAGCCTTAAACACATGTGTGTTATAAAAATGGTGATGGTGGCGCTGCCGTCACGTAAACAGTAAGCTCCGTATTTATTATCGCAAAAAAATAGTAAATCAACGTCTTTATTTATTAAAGTAGTTTAAAAGTGAAAAGTATCGTGTAAATATAACGTACGAATGTTATCTCCAGTAAATATCAAGAAAATCTAGTGAAATATACAAAAAAACGAACAGTGAAAAGTGATTGTGAAAAAATCATCATAAACCAATAATTACTTACTAGAAAGTGCATCATACCGAAACAAATACTGCTACTCACTCTCTTCACCGAGAAAATACATAAAACATACCATTTTGTGCTTTTGTTTATAATAAACTTAAAACCGACAAGAAACAGACGGTTAATTTTATTCAAATCTGTGACGGTGCTTGACGAATTTGAACTTTGACTACCTAACATTAAAGAAAAATGTTGAGAGATTACGACATCTATCGATGAATACGTATCACATTTTCGTTCTCTCAGTATCGGTCTAGGTGGCTCAGCGGCGAATACGGTGCATAGACAGTGTTAGTTTCAAGAGGTCCGCTGTTCGAACCTCGAAGGAGAATATTTAGTTAATTTACCTTTTGACATCTTTATTGAATAATATTATTATAATGGATGAGAATATTACTTACCGAAACATTAGAAGACGAAGCAGTTCACTTCACAACATTTCATCGCCCTCAAGTATGTTTGATTCCCCAATGACAAGCTTACCCAATACATCAATAAATAATAGCTGCACAGTTCAAGACCTAAATGAAAAAATAAACACAATGACGAACGACCTTCTAACTGCTCATAAAGAAATTGATAAACTTAATAGTGAGGTAACACGGCTCAATTCTGAATTACAAAAATTAATAAAAACCAACAACACTCTTATTTTGGATGAAAGCTGCAATACAAGTACTCCGCGGTCATCATCATCGGGACGTAAGAAAAAACGTAGCAGAACCAAAAACTATATAGATCCCCCCAAACCGAAAACAAAATTGACTACAAGGGATGTACCGGAACGAGCAAACTCATCGCTGTGAAGAATTTATGTACTCCGACCAAAATCAAGTCTGATGGTGCACAATTGACTACGGAAAAACTAATTGAACCTATGAAAAAGATTACAATTATTAGTAGTGATAATAGAAATAAGATACTAAACATATCCAAAGAATGTTTAAACGGATATAAATTCTGTCATTATTTGATACCGAATGGTAGCATAAAACAACTACTAGATAATATTGAATATAAACTGCAAAATTACACTTATAATGACTTCTGTATATTATTAATCGGTGATGCCGATTTCCGTATAACCAAGGATTATTCTCAACTAATTGATTATATTAGAAAACAATTGTTATTAGTCCAGCATACCAATGTGATATTATGTTCTCCAACCTTCAAGTGTAATAATTATAGTAACCTCTTTAATCTACGTATAGAAGCTTTTAACGACAGACTCTATTTAGACAACTTAAAACATGAATATGGTTTTATATTAGACTCAAACAGAAATTTGACGTACTCGAATGATATGTTTAATAATTCTGGCTTAATTAATAACTTAGGAACTAAAACAATATTTCGCGACATTCTGAAACTGATCCATTCGATTGAACAATATAATCAGACATTATCTAATATAAGTTTAACATATAATAATTATTATGATGATGACATTACTATTATTCATGACGAGAATAAGCTTTTTCGAATGTAATTATATGAACGTATTACATGTAAATATTAATGGTTTTCTTAGTAAATCTGACCTTCTGAGCATTCATCTTCAAAACTTAGCCGGTAAGGGAAATTCCATTGACGTACTATGTTTGACTGAGCATAATATGATACAAAGTGACGTGGAATTCAGTAATCTTATTAATTATAATGTAGCATCATGTAGTACGAGACGTAATCGACACGGTGGTTCTTGTATATTAGTACACAATAAGCATAATTTTAAACCAATTTTATCTATAACGAAATATAACATAGAAGGTATCTTTGAATGCTCTGCTATTGAGCTAACACATCACAAGTTCTTTATTATCTGCATATATCGACCGCCTAGATTAAATAAACATTTCATTGACAAGTTTTTTGATACTTTAGATAGCATGCTTAATGAATATGGCTTGAGCAAAAATAAAATAATATTATGCGGTGATTACAATTTAGATATCTTAAATAATAATAACAATACGAGAAGGTTTACCCAAATAATCAACAGTTACAATTTGAAATTTTCGTTTCGAGTACCAACAAGAGCAGCAAGCGGTAAATGTATCGATAACATAATACAAAATGTATATAAACCTAAAAGTAGTCTATTGGAATTTGCGATATCAGACCATATGGCCCAGCTATTGACATTCCCGGTGGCACAATCATTCTCTTTGAACTGCTGGTACAGCAAAAAGAGATGTTATGGTAGCAAAAATTTGAATATATTTTTTTTTTAAACACCTAAACTCACTTAAGTTCAAAGATATTTATAACAATACGTGTGATCCTGAAAAAGCGTATAATGACTTCTTTGATAATTTCAGTCTTCTCTACAAACTATGTTTTCCTATTATAAAAGTTAAACATAATAGTGAAAAAAAATCCAAATGGCTGTCAAGAGGTATCAAAATATGCTCAAAACGGAAACGTACAATGCTCTGGATGTACAGAAAAAACGCACAGACAAACTTAAAAACGATTTCAAAATTTACTCCTCTAGGCTTAACCAAGACTCAAAAATCGCAGAACAACTATTATATATCATCGGCCAAAAATAAATGTAAGGCAGCTTGGTCTATAATTAACGACAAAAAGAAAAATTTACCCCGTAATGACACACCCCAAATAAAAATTGATAATAAAATAATAACAGACATTTTCTTACATCAATCTCAATTATCTATTGACAATAATGTTAGTAATAGCAATAAAATAACTAGTACCTCATCTTGCATGCGTAATGACAAATGAGTTTTTATGAAACCTACTTCTCCTGATGAAATAAAACGTACTATTATGTCGTTAAAAATACAAATAGCACCGGATACGATGAAATCAGCACAAAAGTTCTAAAATATGTAAGCAACTTAATTGCACCTCTACTATGTCATATTATTAACTTATGCATTGAATACGGGATATTTCCAGAAAAAATGAAAATTACTTTAGTAAAACCTCTGTTTAAAAAAAAGGACATCGAGGAATTGGCCTGCTATCGACCCATAGCTCCGATATCAGTTTTTGCTAAGGTATTTGAAAAAATTATATATATTAGGCTCTATGACTTTTTTGAAAAATATATTTTAGTGGACGAACAAATGGGATTCCGTGCTGGTAAATCAACAAATTTAGCTATTTATGAATTTTTATATACTGTCATTAAAAATATTGATAAAAAACATCTAGTAAGTGCTTTATATACGGATCTTACTAAAGCGTTTGACCTTGTCGAACATAATATACTTCTACACAAACTGGAGCAATATGGTGTGAGGGGTAATGTTCTTAAGTTGATAACATCACACCTAACCAACAGAAGACACTCAACACAGATCCCTCGATTGTGTATCAAACGCAAAGAGGAAATAAATTATGTATCTGAAATCCAGTGTGTCGAACGAGGTATATCTCAATACCTCAGGGATCTGTATTGGGACCTCTGTTCTTTTTAGCCTTCATAAATGATCTCCCAAAATCAATAAATGAAAAGCTAATACTATTTGCTGATGATAGTACAGCTATTTTTGTCGGCAATGAAATCAATAGCTTAATACATAACATTAACGACTCGCTTAGTAAAATTATCACTTGGTTAAATTCTAATAAGCTGTGCATGAATATTGACAAAACTAACTATATGACATTTTCTAAAACACATATTTATTCTAATCTTGATTACGACATTAATTACAGAAATACAAAAATCGACAAAGTAGAGACTACGAAATTCTTAGGAATCTATATTGACAATAAGCTAAATTGGAAAAGTCATGTTGATTACGTATGCAGCCGTGTTAATAAATTTTCATATGCACTATACCGTATGAGTAAAATTGTAAACCAAACAACATTGATAATTGCCTACCATTGTCATGTTGAATCCATATTAAGATATGGTATTATATTTTGGGGTCATTCAACAGAGAGATATACTGTGTTTAAATCTCAAAAAAATGTATTAGAGCGATTTGTAAATTAAAATATAGGGACAGTTGTCAGCAACATTTTGCAAATCTCAACATAATGACAGTACCATCTCTGTATATTTATGAGGTGGTAGTCTTTGTGAAAGCAAATATAAACATGTTTCAACATCTTAGAAGTATAAGACATAAAAACGATATTTGCTTTCCCGCCAGTAGGACTGCCCTTTACAATAAAAGTATATTTGGTATGGCACCACGACTACAATAAATTACCAGAATGTTTAAAAAAAATATCCAATATCCAAACATTTAAATTGAGAGTTAAGAAATTACTTGTGGGAAAAGCTTACTATACAGTTGACAAATATATGACGGATTTTTAAAATAATTTGTAATCCATTTGTATTCCTGTTTTGTTATTTTATTTAATTTTATTTAAATGACCTATCTTGTAATTTGACCTATAATTTAATTTGACATTATCTTCATTTTGACATGTATTCTAATTTGACATTAAGGTAAGGTTTTTGTATATATCCATTATTATTATTATTACTTTCAAAATGTGACTTAGACATCTCATTTATCAAATTATAATTTCTTTTTAGATTAATATAAGTACTTAATTGACATTTTTAGAATAATGTAATTAATAGTGAACTAAATGTAATAACATTGCATGTCAACAAGACAGAATATGGCTGAACATAATATAATTTGTATACTTGAACACAACACAATATTACCTGTATTCGCAATAAAAAATATTTGAATTTGAATTTGAATTTGAAAAACTATAATGGCCCATCCACTGGGATGGAGTCAGATATTCTATTAGAGGGCTTTAAATGTTCTATTGATATGCATAACCTAATATACGGTAGGATGGTTTCTGACGGCGATTCAAGCATGTATGCGAAATTGTTGAAAAGTCGCCCGTATGATAATGTAACTGTGGAGAAAATATGAATGCAGAAACCATGTGCTCAGAAATTTATGAAATAAAATAGTCCAACTCCAAACGGATACCACTTATTTACTAAAATACCGGAAACAACTAACCCAAACAAAAATTATGGTTCTAAGGAGAACAATCCGGAAAATCATAAAACATTATAAAAGTGACTCTGAAACTGAGAGACGATGTAATATCGAACCTTTATATAATGACCTTTTGTTAGCTCATCTGCACACTTTTGGGGACCACAGTCGGTGCAAGGCTAGCTTTTGCACAGTTATGAACAAATCTGATGGAAATCCTGAAACTGTCGATAAACAAAATTTACAAGTACCATTTGGAGTCGGATTTGTTTGATCATGTCAAATGTTGCATCACATGCTCCAAGTTTAATTCATGACGTAGACAGTAATTTGATAGAAACCGTTCAACAGCATAGTTGCGAAGCTGGCTCGTATTCATCACACAAACATCCACCCCCACCGGGATTCAAACCCAGGACTTCTCGAGTAGGCGACATCTTGAAACACAAAACCAATCACTTGGCCATAGAGGTCGTCAAACGAAGAAACCGAATATTCAAAAACTTTATTCATTGACCACTTATCAACCAAAAATATTTGCCTCTTAAACAATATTTTTAGGTTACAATTTAGACCCTAGCAATGGCGATGTTTAGTTTGAGAATCCAATTCAAAGTGTTTTGTTTTATGGCGTGAAGTTGTAATGTAATAATTGATTTCTTTTTGCAGATTACACCACGATCCTATTCTAAAGGTAAAAGAACAGAGTGTCAACATGACTATACCGCGTGCTAGTTTCACGCTAGTAGTGAAACGTCAAAAGCTTTCTCATAAAAACGGCGAATGTTCGAGCAAAACACGCGAGATCCAAGTCGACCATCCGCAATGCTTGACCGAAGAAATCAGAAAATGCGTTTCGTCTACACTCAAGGCTATCCTGCCTGGATGCGACCAGAATAAATTCGAAAGTTTGATTGAGGAAATAACCTCTTTTATGTTTTCACTATGTTCAAAAGGATACTTCGATATTATAAAAACGGAAAATAATACACAGGTAGGCCAATACCATTAAAACCCAAAACATAATTAGTATTTAATATTTTCAATCATCATTATCAGCCTATTAATGTCCCCACTGCTGGGGTACAGGCCTTCCCTATGGATGGAATAGGGAGATGGAATATTTTCAATAAAAGCAGTTATTTCATATCAAATATAGGGCGTCCCACGGCTCCCTCACACGGAGGGAAAGTATATTAAATATTGAAGATAGGATATTTAACTGAAAGAAGACATCATTTTATATTTAATAATAACTAGAACTGCATTCACAGATTTTATTACCTCATGTGCATTACTCGATGCAGTTGTAAGTGATCTACTTAGTTGGACAAAAAAGTCCTTGGACAAAAGTAAGTTCCATCACTGGGCAGTTGACATCTAACATTATCAGGTTATTTGATAATTATGAGTAAATGGGGCTTTAAAAATAAATACCGGTAAAAACCAGGTTTTTTTCGGGGCATTTTTTCTGTCTCCTATAACTGTTTATTGATTAGTTTAGCCACGCACGTTTAAATAATACCGATAATAACCGGCTTTTTTGAAGTCTGGTTATGTTTGCTGATCG